TTAATCAATACTAACTACCAAATTGTCTTCATAAACTTGCATGAGTTGATCAACACTGGATATTGACATCATTTTGCCAGTTAGAAAACTGAAGAATTGTATCTCGTTTTAAGTTGCATTTCTTTATTAATGATGTTGGATGTCTTTTCATGTTTGATAGGTCATTTATATTTATTTTTCTGTGGATTATGTGTTCATTTTCTTTGCCCATTTAAACATTTTTTATCAAATAGGAGTTCATTATGTATGAAAGATATTAATTTTTCACCTCTTATATTTCTTATATGCAAATACTGATTAAATCTGGCATTTTGCATCTTGACTTATGCCTTGCATATAAGAAGCCTTTTTGCCTCCCCAAATTATAAAAATCATCTCATATTTTCCCCTAATTATTTTCCATTTTTAAAATTTTGTTTTCTCCACTTATATATTTAGTTTATATAGAATTTATTTCAGTGTATAATGAAAGGTAAGGATTAAACTTTACTTTCTTCCAAATAGATAACCGCTTGTCCCAATATGACTTACTGAATCCATCCTTTATTCAGTGAATTAAGATTGACCTTGGTCATGAATTAAATATTTTATAGATCTCTTGCCACATCTTTGTTCTGTTTTATCAAGTGTTTTGTCTGTCCCTTTATGGGATCATGCAGCCGGTTCTCCTTGTGTGCTGTAGTCACGGTCTGTAAAATCCCTGCAAACACCGAATCAGTGAACACTGACCCACACCCCCAGGGGAAATAGAGGCAGGTGCCTGAAGCCTCTGGCCACATCATCAGCTGATCAATGCAGACCTTGATTTCTGTGTGTTTCTGTGTAAAGACGCCTATTTTATAGTGTTGGTTCATTAACATTGAACTCAGTCCACAGCACTATAACTCTTGCCTGAACAAAGTTGATCCAACACATGTCTTTTCTCTGAAAGGCACATCACAGCCTGTACTTAGGGACACTAGACGGTACTTAGCACTTGGCTCAGGGACATTTTTTTCATTATTCTTACAAACTATTTTTTTAGAGCAGTTTCAGGTTCACAGCAAAATTGAGCAGAAAGTACAGAGAGTTCCCCTACTCCTCCGCCCCCTCACAGCCTTGGGGCCATTTTAAACAGTAAAATCACTGACAGAACTGCAGAAAACGTGGCCCTAAGTAACGGTGAAAAGGACGTTTGTTTATAGTGGGAGAGGTGAGACAGAAAGAGGGTCCTGGTCCCCCTCGGCTGGGGTTGCTGCTCTGCACGTGTGTGGGTGACTCGTAGGCCCTGGAGCATCGATTGGGTTACACATGCGTCTCGGGGAGTTAGGCGACAGGAGCTGCTGGGCACTGAGGGTTGACTTTACTACTTATACTAGCTTTATAGAATGCCACTGCGTTTTTACATCTGGTAAAGCCATTTCCTCATATTTTTTTCTCTTTCAAGAATTTATTATCTACAACTCATGATTCAATAATAGAAAGGCAGATAATCCAATTAAAAATGGGCAAAAAATTTGAACAGGCATTTCTCCAAAAAAGATACACAGATAACGAATATGCATCTAAAAGATGCTCATCAGTAGTCATCATGGAAATGCAAACCAACACCACAGTGAGAAGGCACTTCATGCACACGGGGATGGCTGTAACAAAAAGACAGACAATAAGAAGTGTTGCCAAGGATGTGAGGAATTGGAACCCTCATCCATTCCTGACTGGAACGTAAAATAGCACAGCTGCTTTGGCGCACGGTTTGGCAGTTGCTCAAAAAGTTAAACACAGAGTAAGCAAATGACCTAGTAATTCCACTCCTAGGTATGTACACGAGAGAACTGAAAACATTTGCCCACCCAAAAATTTGCACGCAAATGTTTATAAGAGCATTATTCATAATAGCCCCAAAGTAGAAATGTCCAGCAACTTACGGATGAATAAATGAAATTCAGTCTCTCTGTGTAAAGAGTGCCACTCGGCAATAGACAATGAAGAACTGATATGGGCTATCACATGGGTGAACCTTGAAAACATGACACTAAGGTGTGTTTTTTTTTAATATATTTTATTTTATTGATTTTTCACAGAGGAAGGGAGAGGGATAGAGAGCTAGAAGCATCAGTGGGAGAGAATCATTGACCAGCTGCCTCCTGCTCACCCCCTACTGGGGATGTGCCCGCAACCAACGTACATGCCCTTGACCAGAGTCGAACCTGGGACCTTTCAGTCAGCAGACCGACACTCTATCCACTGAGCCAAACTGGTTTCTGCAGCATGACACTAAGTTGAAGGAGTCAGACACACAATGTAGATTCCATTTCTGTGAAATACCAGAACGGGCTAATGCATGCTCAGGGCTGGCAGGAGGGGTTGGGATGGGAAGGGACTACTAGCAGCAGCGTTTCCTTTCGGGGTGTTGGATGATGGTGCTGGTTACACTATGAATATACTGAAAGCCACTGGACTGTGTCTCAGGAAAGCTGCTGCTGTTGTCTTAATATGGTATCTCCACAGAGAGAGCAAAACGAGCCCTTTCCCTCCACTCCTGCCTCCTCAGGCCCCAAACGTGAAGAAAACCTTCAGGTCTCTGCCTTCTGAGTCGCTGCTCCCCCAGGGCGGAGCTGCGGGCAGAGCCCGCCTCGCGGACAGGCCGCGGTGCTGCTTAGACCTACAGATGGGTCATCCCTGCCCAGGAGGCCCCTCTTCCTCCCAAGCCTACTGCCTCCACTTAGACTCACTATATGTCACCCCTCGTCACCATACAAGCCGCCTAACGGGACAAACCAGAGTACAGCCCATCTCCCTCTGCCCAGCCCCGCTCTCTGGGACAGCCCAGGCACAGCCAGGATGCCTCCTCTCAGGCCTGTGGTGGTTCCTTGTTTTGCTTTCAGTACAGTCTCAAGGGCTTCAGGCTCTCCAAGCCCTCGGACCCTCATTACAGGACCCTCAGAGCCCCTGTCCTCTTATCCCGCCCCCCCCCCCCACCTGCATCCTCTGTGCTCTCCCCACCGCACTCTCTCCCTCACTCTCGGTGTGCTCATCTCCTCAGTGATCACACGGTAAAAAGTAACCCAGCGCATGGAAGTGACTGGCACAGGGCCTGGCTTCCCACATTAGTTCCCCTTCCCCTCCCTCCTTCCCTCACCGGTACTCTGGAAACTGAAATGCTATGTAATTGTGACATGTTGTCATGATTATGTATGCCTCACGTATGTCCATTACCCAGAGTTCTTGTATGATGGCAAGAATCCATCATATTGTCCTAACTGGTTTAGTTCAGTGGATAGATAGGGCGTCGGCCTGTGGACTGAAGGTTCCCAGGTTTGATTCCGGTCAAGGGCACATGCCCATATTGCAGGAGCGATCCCCAGTAGGGGGCATGCAGGAAGCAACCAGTCAATGATTCTCTCTCATCATTGATATTTCTAGCTCTCTCCTCTTCCTTTCTGAAATCAACAAAAAAAAAACCCAAAAAGCATAATAATAATGTAAAAAAATTTTTTTTTTTAAATCCATCATATTTGGCCTCTGATAAGGAATATTTAAAAGTATTCTTGAAGGGGGGGAAAAAAACTATAACTTTGCAGCCTCAGGTGCCACCAAAGGGTTTCAGCTGCCCCAAGGCTCCCGGCGACTGGTGAGGGACAGAGGCCCCTGGGTGAGGGGCATAGGCCTCTGGCTGGTGACCTCCACAGGTGAGACAGGAGAGGGGGGTGGCAGCTGCCGGGTGCCCTGGAGACGTGCTGAGAACACAGGCAGGCTTCCCCTGACGGGTGTCCTCCACAGCTACTGCCGCCTGAGGAAACAAGGACAGGGCACTGCAGGGCCACATGCTGTGTGGTCAGGAGTCAGGCTCCCAGTGCGCTTGTCGTGTAGAGAGCCGACAGCACAGCTTAGCCACGTTGGCTTTGTGCTGTCTTTGTTCTGGGCGCCCTCCTGAGCTGGTTTCCATTGGGTTTGCATCAGAAATCATCTCGTGGAACCTTTTGGATTCAAATTGGAGTTTATCACAAACACATATCTCAGAGCACACACGTAAAGCCCAGAATGGGACAAAAAGCAAACAAGTAGCACAGTGAGGTTGTAAACAGGCGTGCGGAGGGAGGAACAGAGGGAACCTGGGAAGCGCTGTGCAGCAGCAGAGCCAGCCCTGCAGGCAGCGGCCACCCAGTACTCACATCAGGGCCCAGGAGGGCACTCTTCCTTTGACCCACCTGCAGTCCTGGCGGGAGAAACCATGGATAGTACCCCTACCCCCTTCTGAGCTGGGCTAGTCAATTCACTTTACTCCAGAGATGTCCTGTCTCCCCTCCATCCCTCCTCTCTGCACCCTTTTCTCACTCATTCCTGGAGCCAGCCTGGCCTCCATTTGGGCTTGCGAACCAAGGGTCTAGGCACACATTCAGAGTGCTGAGAAGACACGCAACGGGACTCCTCCCTGATGGTGGGACCCTCTCTGCCAGCCCCTCCCCCGTGTGCGGTAGACGGTTCACACGTGTGCGCTCAGGTTAGAAAATGTAGAGGAGCCCAGGCCGGTGGTGCCCAGTGGGTAGAGCATTGGCTTGAGGACTAAAAGGTCCCAGTTCAGTTCCCCGTCAGGGCACATGCCTGGGTTACAGGCTTGACCCCCCTAGTGTGGGGCAGCAGGAGGCAGCCCATGGACGATTCTCTCTTCATTGATCTTTCTCTCTGAAATAAAAACATTTTTTAAAAGGTAGAGGAACTACATCTCCACCCCATGCCACTGAGTGTCTTCCTTTTCAGCTTCATTTGTTAGTTTGGCTTAGGAAATACGTGTACACGTTAGAGAAATACTTCCCATAAAGTGTAGAAGAGTCTGCAGGGTAAAGTACCTCTCCTTCCCGCGCTGTCTCCACAACTACCCTCCTCCCCACACTCTGCTCCTTCTCAGAGGTTGCCATTGTCAGCTTTAAAAATTCTTAGTATCTTTCCTTCCTCCTTCATTGCTGGCCTGTTGGATTTATCTGCTGTGTTCTTCCTGTATCTGCCTCTTCCTTGCTCAGATTTTGACCCCTGGTGGACAAACGACCGTGAGCAGAATGAGTCAGACCTTATCCCTGCCAACTGCACTGGTTGTGCCCAGAAATTACCCCTCAAGTTAGTGCTCCTGGAAGATGTCCCAAAGGAATTTGAGAGACTCCATCCTCTGGTGATCAAGGTGAGCTAGAGGCGGATTCTCCCACTGATTGACTACCCTTTTAATAGCAGAAACCGTCAAGCTTTCCTGGGAAATAATTCTGCTTTGCTTTTGTTTTTGGCCTTGCCAAGACGGAACGGCCCCTGTTGTCGGAGGACATTCAGCATTTTGTGTGCCAGTACCCTGAGGTGACAGAAGGCTTCGAGGAAGGGTTTTTTGCCAAGTGGTGGCGCTGCTTTCCTCACCGGTGGTTCCCATTTCCTTATCCGTGGTGAGTGTCAGAAGGGCGCTTGGCCTGTGTGTGTGTGGGAAGGGACAGCCCAAGTGTCAACACTGCAGATACCTTGCAGAACTGTGCAAGTCAGAGAGCACGCAGGAGCTCAGTGTGAACAAGCCAGTGATGAGAGAAAGGGGCGAGTGAAGAGAGGTGTCCGGAGGAGTGACAGCCTGGGTGGACGCCAGGGCTGCCTGATAGAGTCATGGTTTATTTCTAAGTCTGTGTTGAGCATTGTGTTTCTGCAGCGTGGGTCCTGAGCGTTGAGGGCTGAAGAGAGCGCGAAGAATGGGAGGGAGGCTGCATTCCCCAGCACGCTCTGTGCCAGGCAGCGTGCCTTGGTGCGTAGTGTCCATTGCTCAGTGGTGATGCTCAGAATAGCTCTGGGAAGTAGGGATTGTCATTGTCACCTTCAGATCAGAGAAGTGGCAATCAGAGAGGTCACCCAGTTGGGACTGAAACTCAGATTTGCCCCCGTTCCTCCCTGTGTCCTACAGAAGACATGATCCATGTCTTGGGGTGCTGTCTAGAAAGAAAAGGAAAGCCAGTTTCCAGCTAGAACAGCGGTCGCCAACCAGTGGTCTGAGGACCATGGTGGTCCTTGAGGTCCGAAAGGTTGGCAGCCGCTGATCTAGAACCCTCCACAGGGAAGGAACATTGCTTTCAGGCTTTCTGTTGGGTAATTTCTCGGTGCTTCTGCTTTTCGTTAAATTTGCTGTTTCTTTCGTGATCAGTGACTCAGTTGAACAAGCTAGTCAGGCTTCCCAGTGCATGGCACTCCGCTGCCGGAGAGGGCTCGCGATGTTTGCTGCTTCCTCCTCCCTCGGTCTCCTCTCCCACTTGGCTTGTTAGTACTTCAGTCTCTTTTCCAAGATAGAATGAATGGATTGTTTCCTCCCTTCCTCTATATGTTGTTTTAGCTGGATTTTATAAACACCCACCCACATGGACACATCGTGGCTGTGGAGTTTGTGTGTGTGCGTGTACATGTTACAGTTAATTGATTTGGCATGACTGTTCTTCATGGACCCAATACTTACGATATTATCCTGATAGTTTTCCTCTTTGCCCACCACCCACAGTTTTCCCACCCCGCTCAGCTCTATGTTAGCCGGAGGCTGGCTTGCCCAGTTTAATAACTTTTTTCTCTTCCAAACTTTTATAGGAGAAGACCTCTGAACAGATCACACATTTTACGTGAGCTCTTTCCTGTTTTCACCCACCTCCCATTTCCAAAAGACGCCTCCTTGAAAAAGTGCTTCTTTCTTCAGCCAGAACCTATTGTGGGCAGTAAGGTAGGAAATTTTGAGAGAACTGAGATCGAGAACTTTCCTCCTTTGGGACCTGGGCCGATGACATAATCAAGGCCTTCCCTGCACATCAGCTTTGGGGGCGAATTGCAGGGACACCCTCCCTGGTAGCCAGGAGACTGGGCAGCCTGCTCCTTTAGGAAGACAGGCTATGGAGAGTCTGCCTCCTGCAAGTCTCCCTTCCGGAAGCCACGCTTCTGCGTTTAAGTACATAGAACCCGAATTAGTCTGACTTCTCTACCTCAAAGTAGAAAGCAGGCAGCTATAAGAGAACAGTATGTGAATTCATAGTTCTGGTCACTCATCTTGTAGTTAAGGAAACAGCCCTAGCGAGAGTAAATCAAGGACATGGTAAGTTCATAGGAGGGCTCTTCCCACCCGCGCTCCCAGGTTGGCTTTCCCCAGAAATGGAGGAGGAGCCTCAGGTAGAGAACTGGAGAAGCAAAAAGCTTGGGAGCATGGAGAGGTTTGGGGACTAAATGGTGGACGGCACGCGCCCGAGGCCGGCAGCCCAGCTTAGGGGCTGCACCTCTCACCTCAGCCCAGGGAACCCGACCCCTCACTTCCCCTCCACCAGCCTCGGCAGAGCTGTGCTGTGTCGGTGTAGGCTCACTTGTCTCTGAATTGCTCTTCTGTTGAGTCTCATTCCTGAGGAAGGTTTTTGAGCCTGGATTGGTTTGAAAAAATTAAAATCATGAATTTTTACTCAGTAAAAAAATTAAATTTTGCAAACTGTGACCCCTACCAACTCTGGGTTGTGTCTTCAACCTCCTGATACTATTGGCTCCCAATTTGCTGAATCGTGTTAAAGGAATTTCAAAGCCTAGAAAAACAATCCTTGTGTCTAGGAGTAAGCTCTTCTGTCTGCCAGCAGTAGGGTGGAGGTGCTGGGCTCTTCCTTGATTTTAAAGACGTTTATCCTGTCGCTGGCTGGACTCGGGGCCCTCGTATGATTTCATCTTCGTAATTAGGATATCATTCTGGGCGAGGGCCTTTATCTTTATCTTGCTTTTCCCACTTGAATCTAAAGTTACTTTCATCAGCCTACTTAACAGGAACCCATGAGCCAGCCACAGTGGTAAATACAGAGTTACTCAGCCGCCTATCAGAGTCATCTTGTTATGGTTCTCAAGATGTTTTGGGAAGGGGAGTGGCCCAAATAGGCAAAAATCCTGAGTCTGGTTTCTTGGAGCATCTGTTCCCCACCCTGGCCCGGGCTCGAGACGCCTTGCGACTCCACCCTGTTGTCCGTGTCCCTGGGCCCTGGGCCTGGAAGCCCCGTGTCTGCAGGAGCCTTGGGTTTCAGAAGTGGAGATTTGATTGCACTGGGGGAAGACGTGAGGAGTTCCAGGTCCCTGCCCCCTTCCACATTGTTGCCCACCGCTGGCCTGCTCCGCCCTGGTGTCCGCTTCTTCCCATCCTGGGTGCGGAAGGTCATGGTCCCGCCCCCACAGGCTGATATGAAAGAAATACTAGAACATCCACCTGATGTTGGTCTTCAGGGATTTTTCAAGAGTGCAGGTGTCAGGGCTTCTGCTGGGACCAGTCAGTTGCAGGCAGCTCAAGACACCAGACCCCCCCTGGTCCTCCTCCTGTCACTACAGCAACAGTTGGAATGGCTCTCGTGTAGACATGGAATCAGTCATGGCCAGGGCCTGTGGGAGCAACAGGGAGACCAGGGTTGGGGACAAGAGAAGATGGGCAAAGATCTAAGACTCTGGAGGCCCCAGGCGGTGAAGAGGAAAGTCAGACTTCAGGTCCCTGCTTTATGTGGCCATCTGGAGGGTTTCCCAGATGGGCAGGGCTGGGAGGGGAGGCGAGGGGTTCTCTCTCACCTCGGTGAGCCAGATCAGCCTCTCCCTTTGTCCTATTAGGTGGCCCAGGGTTTGCAACTGTGCCTGGCACCCAGCAGGGTGCATGCCATGCCTATGGTGGCAGTAGTGCTCCCTCAGAAGTGTAGCCATTGCCTCTGCAGGTGCATAACCTGGTGGCCTCCTTGGTTTTCAACATCAGAGGCCAATCTTACTGCCATTAGCTTTCAGTCAGTAACATGACATACCTGCTCACCTGGGTCTTGCCAGAAAGTGTAAAATTGAACTTGCCACTCTTTGGTTCTCATCAAAACATTTTGTCAGTAAAAAGGAATATTCCATTGCCCAAAGGATATATATAGACATCTGATAGTTTAAAAGTCTGGATCAAACTAGTGCCTCAGAAGATTGCATTCTTAGACCAACATGTATTGGCCTTTGCTAGACTTTCGTGAAATTGCAGTTAGATATTTCGCCTTTGACCTACTTTGAAGTTGTGACTAGAAATAGTTGTAAATTATGAAGCTTGTGCCATTTCTACTATAGGGCGATTGTTGAGGCCCCACTTAATTCAGTGTCTCTATGGGAGCTGTTAGAAGCAATTTTTACCCTGGTCTCAACACTGAGAGATGCCATGCTTTAAAGAAACTAGTTTGTTTTTCTCATTTGGATGTGATTGTGAATTGTGTTATTGGTTCTGTTTTCCTTTTAGCTTAGGCTGCTAGGGAACTCAGAGCCGTGTGTGTGGATGTTTGTGCATGAATCTCCCACACCCCTGGGTTTTACTGTTTTCTTTTCCTTCCTTTTCTCCCTGTGTTTACTCCAGATGCATCGGATGCATGACCTGTTCGCCCTCGGCAGCGGGGAGGCCATGCTGCAGCTCATCCCGCCCTTCCAGTGCCGCAGACACTGCCACTCCATGGCCGTGCCGCTGGCGCCCGGCGACATCGGTAGGCGGGGCCCCGGGACTTTTTCAGTGTTGAACTCAAAAAATAGTGTAAGGATTAAATATTGCCTTCACAAAGATCAATTAAGTAGAGTCAAGAATAGCATTTTTTACTAATAGGTCAATATTTAGGCTTAAATGGAACAACTAATGAGAAAACGTGGCAGGAGGGAAGGTCTTGTGTGTCCAGGTTAGGCAGGGTCATGCAGATATTGAGAGCAGGCCTTTATGTACAGCTGAGGGGAGTGAGACCGGGAGGAGAGGTGCCACCCAGGGCCCACCGGCAGGTAAGCAAAGAAAGCCACAGTCTTAGTGTCTCGTTCAGCAGTCAGGTCAGGGAGATTCAATCCCAGATTCCAGGAAAGCCCTTTCGGTGCCATTTTGCTAATATAACAATGCAGTGCAAGCAGCATGTAAGGGCAGCAGCTGCACAGGCGTCTCATCCCCCGGGTGGGTCCCACCGGCAGGTCACAGCCTCACACTCACAGCCATGACTCACCCTCGGCTCCATGATTTCCCCACTGTGACTTGTTCTGTGCAGTAGATTCTAGAAGTTGGTTCCAGGGAAACAGGTTTAAATCAACTGCTGTCTATAGCAATCAGTGTTGTTAGAGTTTTCTTGGCAGAAGCAAATAACTCAGCAAGGACCCCATTGCGCGCCCCCCCCCCCCCCCCACCCCGTCTTTCCTGCCTCACAAAGCCCAGGGGCGGCCCGGAGGCCCTGGCAGAGCCCCGCCCAGTTTCCCAGCTGATTTCTCTAACTTACCTTTTCAGAAAACCCGGGGCTCCAGAAACCTCACCGCCTTTGGAGGACGTGTGCGCACTGGGAAGTGTGCCAGGTTTTAAGCCAGGTTACATAGCTTTGATTTCAGTTTAGAAATAGAAAAATGAAATTGCCTCAGTTAACCATTGACTGAGATGGAGCGCAGCTGGCCTGGCCCTGGGAGTTCTGCAGAGGGAGGTTCCTGTGTGGAAATGTCCTGGAGCTATCTTCCTGTGAGGCGTGACGGCTGCACGGGCCTGCGCGCTTGGCGCTGGGAGAGTGTAGTTGTGCATTCAGAGTCTGTCTTACGCTCTACAAATCCTGACAGTTCAGACACCTGCAGAAACACCTTAGTTATCCAAACTCCAGGCCCCCGGCTCCCACTAGCATCTAGAATGCCAGCCATAGGATGAGGGGAGAAGAAGGAATGGGTGCCTGGCAGAGGTCAGAGAAGCTTTGAGCAGCAGGTCCAGTGGACATAGTCCAGGCTAGCCTGAAATCCAGGGCCTGATGCCTGCCGAGCTGTGACTGGGCGGCCAAAGACCAGGTGGAACGGCCTGAGGTTGGCAGTGCCCACAAAAGGCCAGCCACGGGACAGGAGACTGAAGAGAACAAGAGGACGTGCATGCCTGGGAGAAGGCAGGGAGGACAGTGGGCACCTGAGCAGTGGCAGCAGCAGACGCCTGGCTGCAGCCGCTCAGTTACAAGTGAGGACCCAAGAGCAGGCCCTACAGTGGAGGGTTGAGGACAGGTGGCATCTTGAGCAGCTCGGGGACCCTTAGGAATGGCAGCGTGACAGCAGCTTCTCGGCTTTTGGACGTGATGACATGATAAGCATTGTCCTGTGAGGGTTAAGGGGAAGGGGACAAGGGGACAGACCACCAGGAACCTGGGAGGGGGCCGTTTTCAAGGGTGACGTAGGGTCAGGCGCTGTGAGCCTCACCCCCCGGACTGTGCAGTCCCTGCGCGGTGAGCTTTCTGACGCCCCAGGCAGAGGCTCGGGGCTGCCCGGGGCTCTCATTTACAGGTGAGGAGGACATTTCCATCAGGAGAGCAGAGCACTGACGTGGTGGGGGGTGTCGGTCACCTTTCCGCCCGCTCAGATGGTTCTGGTGAGTGTTTCCTAAGGGTTCTCCAGGCCACTCAGGACCGGCAGGAGCAGGCGCCCCCCCGAAAGGCCCTGGGAGATGGGTCCTTTGGTCAGTAGACTTCGGGAAATGCCAGGCTTGGCAATACACAGTGCACATTCTGTACAAAAGGCTCCGAAAACCCTGGAGGAATCTAGTGTTTCTCAAACTTGGCCACACAGAACCCATTTTCCTTGGACTTCTTACAGTTTAGGGAACGCTGGCTGGGTCAATCTGGATGTTCTGTAATGAGGCCATGTTGTAGAAGTCTCAGGAAAATCTAGTGGGGGACCCCTCCCCCTCAGCCAGTCCGGTCTTCTCGCTGAAAATGGTGAGCTCAGTGCGCAGGAATTGGTGCCCAGCACCCGCTCATCAGAGCACCTGCCGATGGGAACCTGTGGGATTGGCGTTCAGTCCCCAGGTGAGGCAGCAATGGAGCTGGTTCAGAGTGGCTCCTGCTGGTGCCAGGGTACAGAGAATGATAATGACCGGGCACATTTATGCAGGAGGGCCTGGAACACCACAGAGCACGATGCGCCTGGCTTTGTAGGTGTTCACACGCTGCGTTGCTGTTCCCCTTGCAGGCTATGCCGGTGCCGCCCACTGGAAGATCTACGTTGTAGCCAGAGGGGTCCAGCCGCTGGTCCTCTGTGACGCGACCGCCCTCGCAGAGCCATAGGAACGCGGTGCGGAGGAACGGTTTGGAGGTGAAGACCGGATTGACAGGAGGAAATAATTATTTTTTAAAAAACAATGGAACCACTTTCCAGGGGTTGGCTACTTGGTTCCCTGCCCTGTGCATGCCTGTGTGAGCCAGCTGCTGGCCAGCGCTCTGCCAGTACCCGTTTGGGAGAGACTGGGCTCCGCCAGGTCTTTTGGCCCCGCAGCCTCAAGGCCACGCTCCCAGCGAGGACTGGATGGTGCCCCCCTCACATGCACAGCGACCCCCTCTGCGGCCCAGCCTCACAGCCATCCTCTGCTGGGCCCTCGTCCGTCTTCCCGGCCGCACCACCCCGTGCTGTCAGGGACACCATGGCTGATGAAAGAAGTCATTGCCGTTTCCCAAACAGAACGAACGACTCGAGGACCACTGAGAGAAGGTCAAATAGCCTCAAATCGCACTCAAGAAGTGAACTTGCCCAGCGCCCGTGGCTCTCAGGGTCTCGGCGATGCCAGGCTGGAGTGGATTACAATTGAAACGGTTTCTCCTAAAGTCATGCTTCTCCATTTTATCTTTTGGCTCTTCCCCCTGCTCTTTCCCCCTCCCTCGGCCGCCTGGCTGAGTTCTCAGCACTTAGGCTCCTGGTCCCCCTCCCTGGACAGGCCAGAGACCTTGCCCGCTGAGGCAGCACCAGGGCCGCGGGCTGTGTTCTCTTACCAGTGCCTTCGGGGGGGAGCTAGATGCTGGCCGGTGGCGGGCGCCTCCCGGGCCTGATCCTCAGGGTCTGACTGCAGGGAAGATGTTTTACAGATGTGTCAAGCTGATGTAATGTGGTTGGGGAAGGAATTCCAGACCCACAGTGTTTGCCAGCTGGGTGTGCGGCTCTGTGGTCCTGTGTTACAATGGTCTGTCTCTCTGTACTGGGAACAAGGTGAGGTTTTTATTTTTTGTAACAATATACAGCCGGTTCCTTTTGGTTGGATAATTCACTATGCTCGTTGTTTCCCTTAAGTGCTGTATTAATCAAATGATGTAAATTAGGATGGCTCTTTTCTTGTTTCCTTTGACACCTCTGGGTGTCTGGTCATGCCAACACCACCACCACCGCGAAGAAAAACAAAACATCCTGCAGGCAGGAAGCGAATGGACACAGGAGGGTCTGTCAGTCACGGCCAGGCGGACGGCGGGAGGGGCGCAGGCCCCTGCCCCGGCCCCCTCAGAGCCACGCTCCTGCCGGCTTGTCAAGGACAAGCGGTTCGCGGAGCTCAGGGTGGAGACGCCGCCGCCGCCGCCGCCTCGGGCTTCAGCGAAGCTGGGATGAGCTGTACCTGAGGGAGTTCCTGTGGAGCAGTCAGCGCCTTGTGTTGATTAATGCAGGAAAACAAGACTTTCTGTCCATGTGAAAGTCACGCTTGCTAAGCAGTGGTTTGAAGAGGTTTGCAATGGGGGGGGGGGGGGGGGGGGGGGAGAGAGGGGGTGCACACATAGAGCCAGCTTTGTGCAGCCTTTTGAGCCCTTGCACGTCCTTATCTGCCCACGTGGGAAGGAGCATTGGGCGTAAACAAGCTCTTGAGAAGCCGCTCCGTTTCTTTAAATGAGGCCCTTCGGGCTAAGGAAAGGGAGGCTTCCTTAAGCGCAAAGCAGCTGTTTTAATGGTTGAGATTTCTATCTCATTTAATATATATATATATTTTATTGGTTTTTCACAGGAAGGGAGAGGGACAGATAGTTAGAAACATCGATGAGAGAGAAACATCGACTCAACTGCCTCCTGCACACCCCCCCACTGGGGATGTGCCCGCAACCCATGTACACACCCTTGACCAGAATCAAACGTGGGACCCCTCAGTCCGCAAGCTGACACTCTATCCACTGAGCCAAACCGGTTTCGGCTTCTATCTCATTTTTATGAATTACTCTGTGTTCCTTCCCATTTTATTCCTGCTCTTCATACCTTAAATGTTCAGAAAATTCTCACTTCAGCTCAAAACTCTGAAAGCTAAGAAACGCTTGCCTGTGATGGTGCTCCGGGGCACCCCTGGGAAGTCCTCTCAGCCCTGAGCTGGCCACAGGCCAACCTAGTGCGTGGCTCTGCTAAGTGAGGATGTGTGCATATGCTGCTCCTTTTATTAAAACCTGTCCCGTTCAGAATTGAATGTACATTTCAGTTAGAAGAGAAATTCTCAAAATGATTTTTGCTCTTAATTGCTGAATACATGCAAACTAGAGGCCCAGTGCACAAAATTCGTACACAGGTAGGGTCCCTAAGCCTGGCTGGTGATCAGGTTCCCCACATCACCACCTACTCCTTCCCTCACCACCCACGCATGCGCCACTGCAGGGTTCCCCTCCTCCCCCCCTCGCTCCCTCAGCACCCCACCGCCACTACCAGTTGCCCACCATGTTCTGCGCTGCCCCTGGTGCTCAGCACGTCGTAGCGAGTGACCAAACTCCTGAGGGGACACTTTGCATAGTAGCCATATATATATATATATATATATATATATATATATATATATATATATACACACACACACACACACACTGACCAGATTATGATGCATTCAGAGATCATCATAATCTGGCCACTCGGTGTAGACTAGAGGCCTAATACACGAAATATGTGCAAGGGCCTTGGCCCAGGTCCCTACCCACCACTGCCAGGGCCCTCTGCCACCTCTGCTGCAGCCCCCACCCACCGTCCTACAGAAATGACTGGGTGGGTGTGGGCGGGGGTGCCAGCCTGCCCTTGGTTCTCCGAGGCTTGTGTGAGGTGCTGCGGGCCTTCCCTGCCCACCTCGCTCTCCGCTCCTCCAAGGAAGCGTCCAAAGGCCCTCGGTGACCCGCTGTGGGAAAGGGCATCTCGTGAGGAAGCAGGGTCAGGGGAACCACCTAACCAGCTCCCACTCCACTAGATGAAGACAGAGCCACAGGGCTGCAAGAAGAGGGACTTGCTTACTCAGAGGTGACGTGACCTCCACACATGGGTTAGGTTCACTGTTTATAGGTCCCGGAGCACAGACTGGGGAGGAAGGCTGCTCCGAAACCAGATGGCCTGAGGTCAAGGACTAAACAGACTGCCCCTCTCCTTCCCCTACTCCCTCTTCCTCTTAGGGAAGGGAGAGAGTCAGGGAATCACGGTTTATGAAAACAGTATCTACCTGTCTATAAACAGCTTAATAGGCAGGCTTGGGCTCATTTTTAAGAGAAAGGAGCCAGTGACATTGGTGTGGTCCATGGTCTCTTGATCTTGTCTCAGTCCGTTAAACCATTTATTAGACCCTCATTTTACGAGTAAAGAGCCGGGCTTAGAGCAGCTCCGTGTGGCGGTGGGCAGTGGGCTCCGCAGCATCTCCCTCCGCAGCGCAGCCGGTGCCGGGGGAGCCGTGCAGGACCCCGTGACCCCCACGGGGAGGCGGCTCGGTGCGGGGTCCACCAGCAGGGGGAGACTCTTCGGCATTTGTTTTAAAACTGTTTGGACCGAAATGAAGGAGAGAATCTAACCAGATGACTATTATAAAGAAGTCTTTAACTTTTCCCTCGCCATTTGAAAACTCAGTGTCCAGCCATTTTCCCGTCACTCCTCATTTCCAGATGTCTGCCCAGTTCCAGCTGTGGGTCCCCCTGGAGCTTACATCACTTGTTTTTCGGTTCTGTTTCCTATTCCTTTCTCCCCAAACCCAGCATCGGCCAGAGTAGGAGCAGCTGTCTTAACAGAACCTCGGTCCTTAGCTGCAGGTGTGGCCTGTCCTTCTGCTGTCGCCCGGGTGGCTTTGCTCACTCACCGGGGGCCTCCGCGGTGAGCACTGAGGACCCAGAGCAGAGGTCCAGCAGGAGGGCCAAGTGTCAGGAGGGGGAAGCCGCGCGCCTGGTTGCATGGACAGAGGCCATCTTGTCCACCTCTGAACCCGTCAGGGAGCAGCGTGCTCTTTGGGCGTTTGAGTTCTCCCGAGCATGGAGGAGGAATTCCCTGAGTTCACCAGTTCACTCAGTGGGGCCGTCACCCCCTGAGCCATGACGGAGGGCGGGCGGAGATGGGCTCTGACGGAGGGAGGGAGGTGAGATCTCCCCGTGGGCCCCGCACAGCTGTGTCCGAAGTGGACGTGGTCGGGCCGCGGCGGGAAGGACACGTGCTGGGAGGGGGCCTGCCGCCCTGGGAAGATGGGAGGCTCTGGGATGTGCTGTCCCCGTCGGCAAGCGCGTTCCTGGCCGCCTCCCCCCTGCACCCCCCCCCCCAGCAGTGTCTCCCACAAAAGCATCTCAGACAAGACAGGTGCTCCCCCTCGCCCCGTGTGCACCCCCCCACCCCCGGCACCGCGTGACTAAGGGCTGGCCTGCGGGACGCCTCCAGCCGCCGTCCGCTGCCAGCCCCAGCTGCTGGTTTCCCTGCCGCATAACTGAAGCATTAGAGCTCAGTCATCTGTCATCTCCCTTCCTCTGGAGACGCGGGGAGGCCAGGCCTTCAGGGTGGGGAGAAGGAACGTCACACACGTCCGGCCGCGGCCTGGCTGCCCGGACACGGGCCGGCGGGCTGCTCCCCGCGCCGGAGAAGAGGGAGACCCGTTTAGTTTTCTGTTTCAAACAGAAATTGGGGAGTGGGGTCATCTACTTCTTTTCCCTCGTCCCCCCTCACCACTCGGGGTGGAGGAGGCCACCCTGTGAAGCCACCGTAACTCACACACAGCAGCGTCCCAGCGCTCCAACTCCAGCGACCTCTTCAGAACCAATCCCTCCACTTGGCTGTGAGAATTGAGGACAGGATCTGACACGAGACATTCCCAGGGGGGACCCCAGTCCCACCTCAGGCAACGTTCCCTCCAAGCTTCTTTCTGTGGTTCCGCCCTCGGAAAACGCTCCCTCCTGCGGGAAGGCCAGGGACAGGCCTGGGGCGGGGAGACTGGGAGGCAGAGGTAAGCCTGAGCTCCGCTCGGCGGCCTCCTGCCCTCATCACACCATCACGTCATCATACCATCACGTCATCACGGACAGAAGCCGGCAGCGCCGGGACGGTGGGCCTGGGTGGGCCTGGGAGCAGAAGGGCGCGGGCACCTGCCCCAAACACTGTGCTCGGAACGGTCTACGCTGTCACTGCTCAGCACAGAATGTTGACTGTAACAATGTATTGCAAGCTTGGAAGACTTACACCGTGTGGAGAACGTATGTCACAGACGTGTTCACTTCTTGCAGTTAAAAGTGTGTGTGTGGGTTGATGACTTCCCTGTGCTTGTCATTCTTTAACTTTGTTCTTTTCCCGTAACTCAGGAGACATGCAGCCATAGCTTACTCGACAGGCAGGCCTCGGGGCTGCTCTGTGGGCCCGGCCTCCGTCCCGCCTGGCCTGGGCCCCCTGACGTCCTCCCCCAGCTTGTGCTCACGCGTATTCACAGGCCCCTCCCTTTTTTTTTTTTTTTTTAAAATATATTTTATTGATTTTTTTACAGAGAGGAAGGGAGAGGGATAGAGAATCAGAAACATCAATCAGCTGCCTCTGGCACACCCACAACTGGAATCAAACCTGGGACCCTTAGTCCGCAGGCCAACGCTCTATCCACCAAGCCAAACCAGTCAGGCCCCTTGTTATTCCTATTCCAGGCCTTTGTCCACCAGGCCTGGCGATGTGCCGTTCCCAGGAATCCTCAGGCCTGCAATACCACACACACACACACACACACACACACACACACACCCCGGTCCCTGCACTGGGCCCAGAACTCACAGGAGCCCTGGGTGCCTTTCTCCTTCTCAGCTGCTGGCTGCATGCAGCCCAGGTCCCTCACGTGTCTCCTTTCTGGACGTGCTGGGCCCTCGCAGGAGGACAGCCAGGCCCCTGGATGGTTCACCCAGGAGGCGTGCAGGAGGCAGCTGACTGATGCTTCTCTCTCATCGATGTTTCTAGCTCTCTTTCCCTCTCTGTAAAAAAATCCATAAAACATTTATTTTTTTTAAAAGACCCCAACATCGAGAAATAAGCCATAAAATGAACTGGAGCAGGTGTGCAAAGTCACCTGAAAAAGTGGCTCCCAGATTTGACTGGAACCAG